AATCTCACGGACACACCTGGAGAAGCTTTGACTGACAGCATGTGAACTGGTGTTGCAGGAAGTTGAGCGTCATCTCCAGGATATCTGCTTTCTCCAGCTTGGAATCAGGCTGCTGCTTGAGGAACTCTGGAGCCAGAAGACACTTGAGTTGCTCGATGCTGCTGTTGATACGATCTCTGCGCATATTCTCCACTCTTGGTTTTCTCAGCTGCAAATGAAGACAGAAAAGCATCAGGAAAGTGTCTTTCAAATAAGCCAATGATTTAGAAGAGCAGTGAAAGCTGCTGCAGTAATGCTGCTGTAAGTAGGATATGAATGTACCTTGTTGTTGAGAGGGAGCTGCTCCTTTGAGATGATTGTAGGTGTCATGTCTGGATCTCTGTGCTGTAGATATCTGTTCAGAGTGAGTCTGATTTGCACTGGCTGCAGCTCCTCTATTTATACTCCCAAATCTCCATATGAATGTGTGAGGCTTGAGCTTGTTGGAGTTTCTCACAGTTTGGAGCCAATGGAAGAGCTCAAACAGACAATGAGGGATGTGGGCCGCCACATGCTCAATGATCCTCCATCAGGGGCTCAAAGGAGCAGGTGGAGGGTGACTCTGGGAAAGTGCTGAGAGCTCATCTTCACATCAATGTCACTGAAGCAGCACACGCTCGTCATTACTAGAAACACGTGTTGGTAGCTCTTTTCCTGAAGACGTCTGAGCGTGGTGACTCTTGATGCACTGACTCCAGCTTCAGTCCACTCCTTGTGAAGCTCTCCTAAGTGTTTGAATCGGCTTTGCTTGACAGTATTCTCAAGCTTGCGGTCATCCCTATTGCTTGTGCACCTTTTCCTACCCAATTTCCTCCTTACAGTCAACTTTGCATTTAATATGCTTTGATACAGCACTCTGTGAACAGCCACCCCTTTCAGTAATGACCTTCTGTGACTTACCCTCTTTGTGGAGGGTGTCAATGATCGTCTTCTGGACCATTGCCAAGTCAGCAGTCTTCCCCATTATTGTGGTTTCAAAGAACAAGAGATACCCGGAACTTATACTGTAGGGATGGCCATTTAATGAAACTCAAATGTAAATATTCTAATGTTTTGAGATACTGGGTTTTTGACTTTCATGAGCTATAAGCGCTAATCATCAAAATAAAAAAAATAAAAAAAACATTTGAAATGTTTTACTTTACATATAACGAATCTAGAATACATGAAAGTGTCACTTTTTGAAATAAGTTACAAAAAAAATGAACTTTTTCACGGTATTCTAATTTTTTGAGATGCACCTGTATACTCCCAAATCTCCATATGAATGTGTGAGGCTTGAGCTTGTTGGAGTTTCTCACAGTTTGGAGCCAATGGAAGAGCTCAAACAGACAATGAGGGATGTGGACCGCCACATGCTCAATGATCCTCCATCAGGGGCTCAAAGGAGCAGGTGGAGGGAGAATCTGAGAAAGTGCTGAGAGCTCATGTTCACATCAATGTCATAACTAAACACGTGCCATACTGAGATTTCATTTTCCCTAATAGAGCACTGCATGCCTTTAGAAAAACATCAATAACAACACATCAGTGTTAATCATAAAAATGTGCAAAGCAATGACATTATACTTTTAGGTGTGTATGTACATATGATTGCTTATGAGTGAATGAGGAATTTATATACAGTAGTGCTTTATTGTGTATTGCTGTACACCCAAAGCACTTCACAATCATATGGGGCCATGGATGAGGCAACTGGGGAAAGACCCTCCATCACTCCACTTGCCCTTATTGCCTCATCTGGGCCAAATGTAGCTGTGGTCTCTTCTTCCTCAGTGAGCCCAGAGCCAGTGAGAGCATCTAGAAAAAAACTAAAAGATACTGAGGATGTGATTTTGGTCAATGTTTGTCCTGCTGGTTGCTGGTTTCTGTTAATACAATATGTCAATGGAGCCCAACTTTCAGAAGCTTCATGATTTTATTTGATGATGCTTTTGAAGCTTCTGAAACTCGGGCTCCATTGACTGATATTGTATGAACAGAAACCAGCAGGGCAAACTTCAGCCAACATCAACTTTTGTGTTCAGGAAAAACAAACAAACAGGGATTGAACAGTGTGAAGGCGAGTAAATAATGATTGCATTTATGTTTGGGTGAATTAACCTTTTAAGGCCCCCAAACAGAAGTTGTATGAAATGTATGGATACAATTATATTCTACTAGAACCTTGAAGAAATAAACTTTCTGAAATAAGCAGCTTTACTGAGTGATTGTGCCTGAGACGTTTACATTTCTTCATTTGGCAGATGCTTTTATCCAACTTAGAGTACTTTTATTACAGGGACCCCCAATGCCTCTGGCGCAAACTGCAGTAAAGAGCCTTTCTAAGGACACACTGGTGGTTGCGATGGCTGCGGAGATTGAACCAGCAACCTTCTTCAAGCCAGTTCACTGATTTAGCCAACTACACCACAAAAGTAATAAAGCTATAACAAAAATTAGCATGCAATTGTAAACATATAAAATTAAATTTGGCAAGAAAGGGAATGCTGACAACATGAATTGTGAAATGTTTTAACTTGTTTAAAAAATTTTCAGGTAGTCGTGCTCATGGAGAGCAGGCACACGAATGTTTTGAGCAGACACAGCAGCAGCCAGATTGTCCTGCTCTTGCTTCAAGGTTGTGATGAGACAGATGGGTGCACTCAGGCAAGGATAGCCTCGATGCCCCTTTCCCATCCATGAACAGATTCCAGTATGACTGCAGCAATTAATTATTGGTCAGCATTTATCATTATTATTTTTGTGTGTAAATGTTGGGGTGGGCTATAATGCAATTCATTCTGGGGTAGTCTTAATTTTAAGTAGTAATACTTAAATTTTTTCGAGTATAAAATCAACAGTCTTCTCCAAAGGCAAGATCTTCGAGCAGCTGGTCGATGTCTTCTTTGTGCAGACATTGCAAACACTGAGGAAAACCGTACTACACATGTGGTAGGGTTGTTGAGTTAGTGATGCTATGAGGTGTTAGTTTACCTGTCAATAAGAGGCCAATAAGAGTCTATTAACTACTCTACTAATAAATATTCTTTGCTCAAATGTCTCATTAAAATGTCTACAAATGGATAAAAAGAATCCGAGATCAGGTAAAAACCATAGACGCTGGTTCAATGGTTCGCCGCTGGGGGGTGTTCTCAATGAATTCACATGATTCATGGGTTCACAGAGATGGCCCCCAACGTATGACGTAATGAAGCCTACTGAAAACATGCTACTTTGGCAGTTTGACAGTGCTCCGAGGCACTGGTTCAAAACAAATGATTCGCAAAGGTTTAGAAGCATCACTAAGCACTGCTTTGCGTCCCAGTAAAAAGTTCCTATTGGGAACTCAGAATTTCCGACTTCCCAGTACAAATGGACTGCACCATTTGACTTTCTCCCAATCTCCCAATCAGTCTTGGTAGGTCTAAAGTCTTTGGTGAGTCCTTTTAACCAACAATATTGATTTAAGTGTGGTTATAAAAATATGCTTTACGATATCTAAGGCATACCTGCACCTTGCTGATGAGGCTGTGAGGATATTAGTCAAAATGTTGTAGGTGTTGTCTAGTAACAACATACAAGTGGGATGGGGACATTTGTTATTTTGGATTATTTTCATTCAAGACAAAGGGAAAAAAAACCTATATTATTGATAAAATGACAACAATCACAGAAGCTGTCAGACGTTCAGTGGATTGTTTTATTTTGCAGCAGAAATCCATTCACTGAACTTCAAAAACTTCCATCACCTTCTCAGAAGGACACAAATGATCACATGATCAATTAAAAAGACAAATGACAAGATGCCAAAGATTTCATGAGAATATAAACCTTCACAGAAGGAACAATCACAGCTGTATACAGTACAGGAATGATTCAGAGAACAAACCTTTTTACTTTTGCAAACCCTTAAAATAGGGATATTCTGAATATGATCTATTATAGACCAAAGTGGAAAACATCAAATATGAATCAAAGAATATTAATGATTATCAACTCAGATGAAATCAAATGTGAGCCCATTTTGAGCTACTTTATATAAACAGCACTAAATTAATAATGTTGCAAGATTCTTGCCGTCATAATAATATCAAGAAATTATAACATTTCATATAAGATGTGCTGTGTAAATTTACTCTTTATCAGCTGTTAGAACAAAACTTTAGTTTCAGAGTAGTTTTCAGATTATAAATGGCCTTTATTATAATAAAGAAAGTGTTTACTTCACATCAAATGAAGAATGTAAAAGTCAGTGTTGTCTAATATAGACGTCAGTAAATGTTCCCATCTGGAACTCGACATGAAGACTTCATAGAAGATTGAATCATCAGAGCACTTAGCAGTACATATATCTCAACCAAACTGGAACTCATGAAACACTTTTCCTCAAAAAGAGAAACTAAAAGCATAATAGTCCACTGAGTCTAGTGCAGACGTTCAGTCTGAGTCTTTAAGGCTCCACCAAGGCCCCCAGATGGAGCTTTTGTTGACATTCATCTCTTTGCTGAAGGTGTTCTGGTCTGGCAGGACACTTTCCCTCCTGTTCTGCTCACATGAAGTCTGCAGCTTCTGGAAGTGCTTCAGCAGTCTTCTCTGGCTCTCTGTCTTCATCTCATCTTTGGACAGGAAGTGCACAATCTCACGACACACCTGGAGAAGCCTTGACTGACAGCATGTGAACTGGTGTTGCAGGACGTTGAGCGTCATCTCCAGGATATCTGCTTTCTCCAGCTTGGAATCAGGCTGCTGCTTGAGGAACTCTGGAGCCAGAAGACACTTGAGCTGCTCGATGCTGCTGTTGATACAATCTCTGCGCATCTTCTCCACCCTTGACTTTCTCAGCTGCAAATGAAGACAGAAAAGCATTAGGAAAGTTCACTTCAAATAAGCCAATGATTTAGAAGAGCAGTGAAAGCTGCTGCAGTAATGCTGCTGTAAGTAGGATATGAATGTACCTTGTTGTTGAGAGGGAGCTGCTCCTTTGAGATGATTGTAGGTCTCATGTCTGGATCTCTGTGCTGTAGATCTCTCTGTTCAGAGTGAGTCTGATTTGCACTGGCTGCAGCTCCTCTATTTATACTCCCAAATCTCCATATGAATGTGTGAGGCTTGAGCTTGTTGGAGTTTCTCACAGTTTGGAGCCAATGGAAGAGCTCAAACAGACAATGAGGGATGTGGGCCGCCACATGCTCAATGATCCTCCATCAGGGGCTCAAAGGAGCAGGTGGAGGGGGACTCTGGGAAAGTGCTGAGAGCTCATCTTCACATCAATGTCACTGAAGCAGCACACGCTCGTCATTACTAGAAACACGTGGAGTCAGTGAGCACATATGATGATATCAAAGTCATGGCATTCTTCGACATGTGATCTGAATTACTGGTACTTTACACAAAGCAGAGTTTTAATTTGCATTCCTGAAGGAGTCAGTAAGTTATCACCTTCTGATCAGTTATAATTGATCTGATCAGATCAATTATTATTATGCAATGAGAATATGCAAAAATATGGATATTAAATTTATTATTGAATATGTAAAACATCACTTTTTAATTGCTTTTTAGCAGCAAATAGATTTTAGTTCCTGGGGTAGTCAAGTCCAATCCATTGATGTTGACCTCTGACCTTTGGTCTCTTAGTGGAGTTCTATTGCCTTTGAGAGTTTTTGAGTGAGTTTTCATGACATCAAAGTCATGGCATTCTTACACTTTGTGATCTGAATTACTCTGTGCTTTAAACAAAGCAGTGATTTGGTTTGCATTCCATAGTTTAATATCAAACTAAAATATTACAATATTTTATTTTATATAAAACTGTTTAGGTCATGTCAAATCATAACAAAATTAATAACAAAATTAAGGTTAATCAATAAAAATCAAACTGTTGAAATGTTTTCTTATTTTGGGCAAACAAGTTCTTACAGTGTTATTTTGATACATGGATTTATTTATGAGGATTTGCATGAAGATCAACATTTTAAGTCTTCTCAAAGAAAGTGCAAATATTTAGTGTCATAATTTATGATATTCAGCATTATCATTGCTGCCATAATGTCACTCACACACGAAGTTGTCTAGCAGCAGTGGACAAAGTACTCAACACCATTACTTGAGTAAAAGTTGTAAAGACAGATTTGAACTAAAGTAAAAGTACAGAAGTACTTGCTTTTTAAAAGTAGTTAAGTACCGAAAGTAAATTTCCTTTATGTCAAAGCACTGTTTTCTTATGTATAATATGCTGTCTAAAGAAAAAAAAAAAGGTCACATTTTTTGAGAAGGAAAAATAAAACACCCACTAACCTAAAGCTGCTACATAGTCACGACTTTCTACGTCAAGGACCTTGATAGAAATGTAGTGGAGTGAAAAGTATGATATTTGTCTTTCAAATGTAGTGAAGTTAAAGTCATAAGTTTCCTGAAAAAAATTAAACTAAAGTACAAATACTCAAAAAGTGTACTTAAGTACAGTAAATGTACTTTGTTATTGTCCACCTCTGTTGTCTAGTCACAACATACATTCTCGGTCGTTTGTTTTTCTTTGTTTTCTCTGTAACTAATAATCAGTTATTCACTGGCATGACTAATAATAGGGACAAACTGTTTACCCCTTATAAAAAATTAACCATGGTTTTAGAACAAATAAATAGAACCATGGTTACTATAGTTAAATCATGGTAACCACAAATTAACCATGGTTTAGCTGAACTAACTAGTTTAACCATGGTATAACTGTGGTCATACAAATGGTAATCAATACACCAAAAAACCATGGTTACTAAACTTTTACTACAGTATAATAAAACCATGGTTCATTTTCATAAAGGACCTGTCTCTGTCTCCCTCTTCTGGTGCTGTTTGCAATGTACATCCCACTAATGGACTAATTAATTAGTCAAGATCTGTGATACAGTTAATGAGAGCCTTTAAAACCGTCAGTTTATAGCGTTCTCTTGATAGACAAATTGAGTCTGAGAGTGAAATGTTGTGTGAGAGTGTTGAAGAAATTATTGTAACTACTGTGTGTCCAGTGTGTTTTTGGGAAAAACACAGAACAACTAAGTCGGATGGGGATTTAAGATAAAATGACAATAATCACAGAAGATGTCAGACGTTCCGTTGCTTGTTTAATTTCGCAGCAGAAATACATTCACTGAACTGCTTTAATGTTTTAAAACTCGTTACCCTCACAGAAGGACAAAAATGATCACATGATCAATTAAAAAGACAAATGACAAGATGACAAAGTTTGTCATGAGAATATAAACCTTCACAGAAGGAACAATCACAGCTGTATACAGTACAGGAAAATATTCAGAGAACGTTGAGAACCAACAAATGTTTACAAACCCTTAAAACAGGTTAAATCTGAATCTGATCTGTTATAGACCAAAGAGAAAAACATCAAATAGAGTTGATCCATTGATCCGTTTTGAGCCATTTTATATAAACAGTGCAGAACTAATAATGGAGCAAGTTTCTTCCCATCACATTAATTAAAAAAAAATTCACTCTTTTTCAGCATTTTGAGCAACGTTTTAGTATCCGAATAGTTATCAGATAATAAATGGCCTTTAAAATAAAGACAGTGTTTCTTTCACATCACATGCAGATGTATCTTAAAGTCAGTGTCTAATATAGACGTCAGTAAATGTTCCCATCTGGAACTCTTGACATGAAGTCTTCATAGAAGATTGAATCATCAGAGCACTTAGCAGTACAAATATCTTCCAAAGTGGAACTCATGAAACACTTTTTCTCAAAAAGAGAAACTGAAAGCGTAATAGTCCACTGAGTGTAGTGCAGACGTTCAGTCTATTCAGTCTTGAGTCTTTAAGGCTCTACCAAGGCCCCCAGATGGAGCTCTTGTTGACATTCATCTCTTTGCTGAAGGTGTTCTGGTCTGGCAGGACACTTTCCCTCCTGTTCTGCTCACATGAAGTCTGCAGCTTCTGGAAGTGCTTCAGCAGTCTTCTCTGGCTCTCTGTCTTCATCTCATCTTTGGACAGGAAGTGCACAATCTCACGACACACCTGGAGAAGCCTTGACTGACAGCATGTGAACTGCAATTGTGGTGTTGCAGGAAGTTGAGAGTCATCTCCAGGATATCTGCTTTCTCCAGCTTGGTATCAGGCTGCTGCTTGAGGAACTCTGGAGCCAGAAGACACTTGAGCTTGAGTTGACACAATCTCTGAGCATGTTCTCCACCCTGGGCTTTCTCAGCTGCAAATGAAAACAGAGGAGCATTATGGAGGCCATCGTGTGTGTGAGAGATGTCATCGCAGCAAAGATAACGCTGAATATAACACTAAATATCTGCACTTGTGTGAAAAGACTTGAAATGTTAATCTTCATGCAAATCCACATAAAAAATGCATATGTATTAAAATAACACTTGTTTTAATAAAAAAGAACAAAATATTTGAACAGTTCGATTTTTATTGATTAACCTTATTTTTATTAATTTTGTCATGATTTGACATGACTTAAATGGATATTGTATACAGTTTTACATAAAATAAAATATTGTAATATTTTAGTTTGATATTAAACTATGGAATGCAAACTAAAACACTGCTTGGTTTAAAGCACAGATGAAGCAGATGTGTGTGTGTTTGTGCTGGTCAGTGTGAGTAGATCTCATGTGAGGTTCCCACACTGACTCTCTGTGTTCACATCAATGGAGCACAAAAGCATCCAGAGTCCTGAATGAAGCATTAGTGACACTGAAGACTTCAACCTGACGTCATATTAAATATACTATTGAATATGTAAACATCACTTTTAGATTGCTTTTTCAGCAGCAAATAGATTTTATTTAGATTTTAGTTAAACTTGTGACATGTTTGTTTAGATGACAAAAGTATCTTAAGCGCCTGATGCAAAAGCTTAGTCAGTTAAAAGTTCACGATGCATTCAGGAAAATAAACCGAGATAGAGCTGGAATTCTGTTCACGCCGCTGATGACATCATCAAACCAGCTCATCAAGCTCATGCATGTATATGTAAATATCCATAAGTGTGTGTTTGTCAAATCTTGAGCTTGTGTTGGGGTTTAGGATGCTAATGACACTAGAACTGTGACTCTGTTCTCCAGAGTTTCCCACACACACAACAATAGAAGTGTGTCTATTCACATGATAATGAGCCTTAATGCAGAACAGATTCCCTACAAGCTTTCTCACGCCTCTGATGCTGAAGATTTGTTGACTTCGTATATGAAACTGAAGATATTTTTTTTAAATAAAGCATTTAATTCTATTCTTTTCATTTTGGAGTTAGAATATCAGTGTATGAAATTAAAGGGGTGGTAAACTTTTTTTTTTTTAAGGCTTGATTGTGTTTATGGAGTGCAGTCTAACTTGTTAATGCGTCATGAAAAAAAAAAAACGCATTATTTTTCACATAATTTACCTTTATCCTTCACCACCCTGTCCCTTGTCTTATGAATGCTCTGATGATTTCATGGTTTTATGAAGCCCCTCCCTCAGAAATACGCAATGGGCTCAGATTGGTTAGCAGGCCCAGTGTGTTGTGATTCGCTAAACCGCCTCTAGTGCAGTCCAGAAACGTCACGCCCCTCTCCTCAGTTGCATGTGCTCCGGTTGTATTGTAAACAATGGTGTCTTCAATATTGCTTATCAATTTGAGACCTTATCTTTTTGAGAAACCTTATTGTGGCAAGGGGGGAGTGAGAAGGCGAAAGGCTGCAGCGGGAGAAAGGGTTTGGAAACTAGCGGTGATAAGGAGGTCAAGTGAATAACGATTAACACCTGTCTGTAATTCCAGTGATTGGGGGAGAGACGAGAGATAAGCGCCCGCAGATCGTCATTAGAGAGGCTTGGGAGGAGGGGCCTTCAAACAGCCGTAGTGAAATTCAGTATGTCATGGACCTCCGAGCAAAGCTCCACACTCTGGGGCGGCTGTCTATGGAGAATTTGCTGCAGGCTCAGGACAGACAAAGTCAGCTGTACAACAGGGGTACGCAAGCGCGGCAATTTACACTGGGAGAGAAAGTGCTTGTATTAC